CAGTGGTGCGCAAACTGGGGTCGCCAGAAGATTTTTGGGGGGTCGCCAAATTTTTATGAAATGCATTATGCCTGCATGCTTGCATACCATACAGTGTACATATAAAGAGTGAAGCGCCGTCACTCACTGTTTAATTGCAATTTCATGCTGTCCGCTCTTTCTTTGACCGTAATGCGTAATATATGTAAAGTGTGAAGACGCAAGTTTTTCACTCCGGTAGATAGCGCCCTCTTCGCGGTAATTCGCCAGTTTTACTGAAAAGCGCCTATTTGACTAGACGTTAACCGCAGGGAAAGGGGAAAAATTCGCTTCCGTGATCAGCCAATCAGATGGCGAGGTACGCGGTGTATCTGATAGTCAGAGGAAGACGTGAAGTGTTCGCATGAAGTTGTAGCATGTAGCAGTTGGCCTGCAATTGTTTTTGTTTATCCTCGAGTTTTATCATGTGACGTTGTGTAATTATGATTTTTTATATTTTTATCGGGCTTTGCTACTCTTTGTTATCAGGTATGTACTATCATTAGAGAAAGATCTCTGTTAATTTTATTGAATTTTCTCGAAAAAAAATGATAAATTTTTATATATTATTTGTTTTAGTTTAAAAAATTTAACCCCTATCTTCATAATGGATAAATGGGTAATACGTACACCAGGTACATCTTCAGCTAACAAACGAACAAATACTGATGAGGAGTCGCAAAATACTGAACTAAATGCCCGATCTAAAAAAATAAGAAAATACAATGAGGAATTTATTAAGTATGGTTTTACATTTTGTGTTGTTGATGATGAAGAACGCCCGATATGTGTCATTTGCAACGAAAAATTAGCAAATGAGAGCATGAAACCAGCTAAATTAAAAAGGCACCTGGAAACTAAACATAAAGAACTTCAAAATAAACATGCCGATTTTTTTCAAAGACGAGCTGAAAATCTGAAAATTCAAAGTGCACATTTAAAGAAATTTACAACAATACCTCAGAAAGCATTACGAGCTTCTTTAGAAGTTTCTTATCTAATAGGAAAAACAATGAAACCCCATACAATTGGAGAATCCCTTATCCTTCCTGCAGCAACTAAGATGACATCAATTATGCATGGCGATAAATATGGAAATGAACTAAAAACAATACCATTATCAAGAGATACCGTGTCTCGGCGGATTTCCGAAATGTCACGAAATATCGAGTCAGAAGTCATAAAACGCATACAAAATTCATCTGTATTTGCTTTACAACTGGACGAGACTACCGATATTACTAAAATGTCACAACTAATTATTTACGTTAGGTTTATTTTTAATGAAGATATAACAGAAACGTTTTTATTTATGTTGCAAAAGTTTGGAAGGAAAAACAAACTGGAGAAAAAATATTCGAAGTAATAAATGAATATTTTGAAACAAAGTCCCTTACCTGGGCAAACTGTGTTGCGGTTTGTACTGATGGTGCTGCAGCATTAACAGGTTCGAATAAAAAGGGCTCAGAGGCTTAATTCAGAAGGTGGCGCCCTCATATGGTATTTAATCACTGTATGATTCATCGGCAAGCTCTTGTTGCAAAAGATATGGATGAAGAGTTGCACAACATATTACAAGACGCTGTTAGTTCAATTAACTACATTAAATGCAACAGCCACAACAGCCGTCTCTTTTCAATACTTTGCAATGAGATGGGCTCAACGTATGAGAGATTACTGTTACACACCGAAGTCAGATGGCTTTCACGTGGGAAAATACTACGACGGATATTTGATTTGAGAAATGAAGTGTACATGTTTTTAATCGAAAAGAAACATAGATTGGCAAGTTATTATATCAATGAAGTTTGGCTAGGGAAAGCTGAGCTATTTAGTTGATATTTTCGAAAAACTTAACGACTTAAATTTGAGCTTGCAGGGTGAGAATTCAACTATCATAACTTCAGCCAGTAAAATTCAAGCTTTTAAGAATAAGCTTAGTCTCTGGCAAACTGAACTGAATAAAAACAACACCGACATGTTCCCTTGCTTTAACGATTTTATCAAGGAAAATAATATAGATATATTTACATTTAAAAACATCATTTCCAATCACATTGAAAAGTTAAAGGAAAATTTTTCGAGAAGATTCGAGGATTTTCCTGAAAACGATCTTGGTTGGATTCGTGATCCATTTTCCTTTGACATATGCAGTTCAACTCTTTCAAATTAGTGAGAAAGAGCAATTGATAGATCTAAATTAGTGATTATACTCTTCGAAATCAATTTAAGACTCAGCCTTGCCAAAATTTTGGCTATCCGTGGAAAAACAATATCCCGTTTTATGCAAGAATGCCATCAGAGTGTTAATACAATTTGCATCAACGTATTTATGTGAAACTGGATTTAGCAAAAACTAGTTTCAATAAAAACTAAATACCGCTTGCGTTTAAACCCTGAAGATGATATGCGAATTGCAATTAGCAACATACATCCAAACATCGATGAGATAATTAGAAACTTGCAGCCACATACATCTCATTAAAGGGCAATTTCTGATTTTGTGTTTATACAAAAGTATTTTCTTAAAATTATAATAAAATTAATATGAGTCAGATATGATGATGTTTTTATTCGATGAAACGAAAGAATGCGCGAAATATACATCGTATTTGTGAACATTTATCTCTAGGGGTCGCCAAAAATTTCTCTCTACAAAAGGGGTCGCAGTCGAAAAACGTTGCGCACCTGTCTATGTTTTAACATTTGAATACACCAAAAATTGTACAAATAAGAAATGCAAAATATTTCGATCCGTTGTAACGTTGCGCGCCTCCAACTTGCACGCAACCAAGAGTGACTGTGAAAACTGGATAAAAGACAGAGTCTTGTTAAGGGTTTAAGTCCCTTTTTATTCAACGTAATAAATTACAATTGCGTGCTCTTGACGCTCACAAACTGCGCCAACTCGGCGGTCAAATAAAAATAATAACCTGAAAAGAAACTAAAGACAAGACTCTAACTACGAGGCTCTCTAAAATAACTAACTCACCGCGTTTTACAATACCGCTGCTAATTCAGCAGAACTTGAAGCTCACGTTGAACGATTAACACTACTTCCCGCCAAGCACATAGGCCGAAACGCGGGGTTCTTCAATTTCTCGCTAACTACCTCCGCGCTCGTGAAGTAAGAATATCACACACCTCGAACTCGTTTCCTTTCTATTTAAATCAGAATACTTCCGCTGATAATTTGAATCCTTCCTTGCGCGTTCTACTAAAATTTACATACTCTGGCATTGGCAGTTCCAGGGGAAAGTAAGGCTTGACAGGAAAGATAGTTTAAACTTAAAATAAATGTTAGTTAAAATAAATATAAACCCTACATTTGCCGCTGCCAGAATTTGGAAAACTTGGAAGCAGGTCCTACAAACGACCTGTTGTAAGTTTCTAATTCTGAACTAACTCGAGAACCTCGTTTACACAAAAAAAATCTTATGTAACAAATTGTATACTAAAATTCTGTTGATCGTTATAACTCTCTCTTCTTACAGCAACTTTTCCTGGACTTCATCAATCAATCTTGGTCTTTCCTTCCAGCATCTGGAAGGAATAAGTATCAGTATCTTTCTAAATACATTATAATTTACACTTTCTTGACACAAATAAATTTTTTGTTTTTAAACGATTCGTTTTTCTTAGTTATTGCTTACTTTTCACATTCATTCAATTTTTCAAGCATTAATTTAACTTTACCCTGGCTCTCCACCATGTGTGGTGTCAAACGGGAATATTCGTGTTTTAGTCTTACAACACTTCCCCTAACCACCATGATTTGTTAGAATTCAACGACCAAATAGACACACCTTACTCGACATTCTACAACTCAATGAGCTACTTTAATATTCTTAAAAATTCAAGTGTAGGTGGAGAACCCTACAAAACACATTCATTCTAACTTCCCCCTCATTCATCTTTAAACATGCAGGCTTTCGCTCTAAAGCATGACTTTATCTACAGTTTAATACTTAAATTTTGACTTCATTGCTTTTAAGCATTTACTTTTAGCATCTACAAATTTTATGCTTCTAGACTAAATTCTACTTTTACATAACATTCAAGTATTTACGTACATTTACAAAATTTTAATACATATGATTTTTACAATTTACCATAAAATGAATAAGAGAAAATAAATTTTTACTTTACTCATTCTTCGCCAAGCTGGCGGCACTGAAACTAAAATTCTTATTAATACAAGAATACGAAGTTATTTTTATCTTCGGCCAAATTTTGGCTTTAACATAACAGAATTAGTCTTTCGACCAACAGAAAATGCTTGTTTTTAGCTTTTTACTACTTAAAGAAAATAATTTTTTTGCCTTAGCTAAATAAAGTAAAACAAAACTAAGTCTCAACCGAGACATATTGACTTTCGTCAAAACATAGAACTTCGTACTTATGCATAACATTTCGGAACAAAAGAGAAAAAAAAATTTATAGAAGGTTTTTAACTTATCTTTGAGTTTTCGATGCTTGAAACTCCGTCATTCTTTTTTGGCAATATTGGTCCCAAGTTAGAGGTTTCATGGATGTCAATCTTCTCCTTACTGACCTCCGAGTGTCGTCCACATTAGTTTTTCTTTTGCGTCCTCTACATGCTGGCCTCTTGGCGGAGTAATCGTCTGGTTGTTGGCATTTCCGTTTTTCCCTGGGACGGCTGGTCTTGACGTCCTCCGGTCTGGAGTCCTTCTTGAATTTCTTCTGTTCCTCGTATTTTTGTTCCTCCTGTTGCCGTTTCAGTTTCCGGAACGGCGGCCTTGCTGGCACCTGACTCTGTGGCCGTGTGCGCGTTCTCCTTGATGTATAATTTTCTACTGCGATCCGTTTGTAGGTGGTGTTTTTCCTCTTTACCACGGTTTCTTTACGCGGTGCATCTGTATTTTTTGTTTTTCTTAAACGCTGGAGTTTGAAAGTTATTTTTTTTCTTTTTGATACCGACGTCCGGGTTGTAGAAGGGCTAGGTCTCTCTTCAGTTTCTCTGTTTCTTGGGTGGTGGAATAGTTGTTATTTCTCTGGACCTTCTACTTTCGTTTCGTTTAGACTTGAGTCCTGCAAGAAACTTTTAAGGATTTCAAAATCATTTGGATTATAGTATTTTTTCACATTTTTCACCTGGTCGGGACTTGCTTTACAGATTTCCCCCTCTCTCGTTCTTAAGATATAATACTACTACTCCTTTGATTTCCTGAATTACATAGGGGCCTTCAAACTTTGGAGCTAGCTTTGCCGTAAAATTGTCTGGGGCACTTGATAAAGAAAATTTCCGCTTCAATACTTTATCCCCAACTTTAAAATCTGCTTCACGGCGTTTTCTATCATAATATAGTTTTTCTGCCTATTTCTTGCCGTATCCGAGCTTTTAAGCGCCTGATCAATCAAGCTTTTTGCACATCTTTTTGTTTAAACTCTTGCTCTCTTTGTTGCACAAAGAATAATTTATCTAAAGGCGTAATTAACTTTCTGCCTAAAAATAATTCTGCTGGGGT